CCACCTCCCCTCCACAATATAATGGTCTCTGATTTTCTGATTTGGGCTATCCTCCAGGGTGTTAGGTAGTGTCTCATAGTTGTTTTAGTTTTATTTTCTCTGATGGGTAATGATGAGTGGCATTTCCTCTTGTACTTATTGACTATCTGGGTCTCCTCCCTAGTGAAACTTCTGTTCAAGTCTTTTGACCACTTTCTCAGGGCTATGGAGGTATTGTACGTTTTAGTAATAAGCCTTTTGTCTGTTGTGTCATTATTAAAAATCTTCTTCCAGTCTGTGGGCTCTCTTATTATTCTTTGTTAATTCTTTTGGCATGAACAAGTGTTTTATCCTTAGTATATCCCACTTTTCGATTTCAGCTTCTGTGTGTGTGTGTGTGTGTGTGTGTGTGTGTGTGTGTTACTAGTTAAAAGCATTGGTTGTTAGGTCAGACTATCCAGAATTTTTAAATTTTGGTCTAGGGCCAGTTGCTTGCCCGGCTTGTGCTTTTTTAATTTTGTTTCCTCATCAGTAAAATATTAGGCTAACAATACCTTCTCCTGGGGTTTTGATGAGGAATCAATGGCATAGTTCTTATGAGTCACTTAAAATTTTTTGTGTGAAATTTAGGTGTTAAAGAATGTTAGCTGCTCTTCCTTATTTACTTAACGTATTTATTGAGGGTGTCTAATCTGCTCAACAATTATGAAATGACATGTTCTTTGCCATAAAGAATCTTAGAAAAACACAACCATATAACAATAAAGATAATCTTATCAGGGTAATTACAGAGGACTAGGGGAAATGGGAAAAGTTTCACTGAACAAATAATATTTGGGCTGCGACCTGAAGAGTGAGAGAGGTACTTAAAATGCAGAAGGACTAATATGTGCAAACTTGTTGAAGTATGTTGTGTTCTAGAAGTTTCTAGGTGGCCAGTGTTTTCAAAGTGGGAGGAATGAAGATTGACAGGTAAGCAGAGGTCAAAATCTGAGTGGGTTGTATACTACCGAGATGAGTTTACATTTTATCTAGTATGTGATGGAACTTGAGAAGATTTTAAAAAGTAAATGACAGCCATGTGGATTTTAGAAGGATTGTGCTTGCTTCTCTGTGGAGGCGGACATTCAAAAGAGCTAAGGGAAGACCCAGAGACTGGGAGACTAACCAAAGGACCGGAAGGATAATGAGGGCTTGGATTAGAAGAGTGAGTGGCACTGGAAATAGGTTTGGGGACAGGATAGATAAGAGACTTACATAAAATGTAGGCTAAGCAACTGTGATTGGCTAAATGAAAGAATCTGCAGAGGCCAAAGACCCACATGTCATCGGTGAGCATCTGTATCTCTGTTAGAAAGGTGCCCTGGTGGCATGGTGCTGATGTCCTGAGTGTTGTGTATAAACTTCTCACAAAACCCCTTGAAGTGTTAATTCAGTAAAGAGGTGAAGCTTCATTAAGGTCACAGAGGTGACTCGGGTGTTGACATACTAAAATTTTAGACTATGTGCATATAGAAAAAAATGCATAGACCACTTGTGCAGTCTGTACTAAAATACCTAATGAATTTTCATTATACATTTTGGTTCCTTTTTGTTGTTGTTGTCTATCGTTGACACCTCTCCCAGGCCTAAGACAAGTACGGTTTCATTTCTTCCAATTTTCTTTATGTGATAAGCGCAATACTAATAATTTTTAAGGAACTCTTCCTTAATCTTATTCTTTAAACTCACTATTACCATATATACTTATATCTAGTACAAGGAGCAGTAGTGGTGCAACAGTTGAAGTGCCTAGCTGCTAACTGAAAGTTTGGTGGGTCAGAGCTGCCTAGAGGGTCCTGGGAAGACAGGTTCTGGCTGTCTTCTGGCTGGAGCAGGGCAGCTCCACCAGACGGGATCAGTGGGAGCTGGGATAGAGTAGGCGGCCTCAGGAACAAAGTGGTGAGCTTCCTTAGGTTGAGGAAATACTTGTGATAGTCCCCTCAGTATCCTTGGGATGTGTTGGTCTTTTTCTAATTTCCCTACAGTATATAGGAGTTAGGATAAAAAATACATGGCTGAAATGCTATTTCACATTTAGCTTTGGCCTGAAAAATAATTTATGCTTACATTTATTTTGTAGGACAAAGAGTGAAAACTAACTTTTCATTGAAAGTTGCTCTTTGTATGGATGATTTCTTTAAAATAATTAATTGGTCTTACTTGAAGACTTCCTTCATTAAAGGTTCTCCTTTACACGCCTAGTTGTGCACATTCACAACTTAGATTACTCAGTAAGAATAATAGTTAATGTCAACTGCTAGCTTATAATGTGCCAGATAATGTTGCAAGAACCTTGTATATGAGCTCCCTAATTCCTAGAACAATACTATATTAATATTATAATCATCATCTTATTCCAGAGGAGGAAAATTTGAGACGGCGGGAGATTACTGGTCAAGGTCATGCAATCTACTATTTAAAGGTCCAGAATTCATGTCCAGGAGCTTATAGCCCAGGCCTATACCCTTCCCATAGTATTAGTCCACCTTTGGGATGTACAGATTGATATTCTAAATAAGACTGTAAATTACTTCTAGTTTAAATAGGACTGTAAATAAGAATCTAGTCTTTTTATTTCAATTTTTCTCTGTGGATACTTGTGTTAAAGGTTCTTGATTCTACTGGAAACACCTGTAGCATTTATACAGAACTCAGATAGGTCCTCAAATTATAAAGCAGATTTTACCTTAAGTATAACTGGATACTGATCCATCCTTAGGCTTTAGCAATTTAGTATTCTACATGTAGTCAACTAGATATCATTTACTTACAATTTTACAACTCAGAGAAATATTCTATGAGCAGGTTATAACGAAGGAGCCCTGATGGCCTGGTGGGTTACACTTTGGGCCACCAACTGCAAGTTTGCCAGTTTGAACTCTGCAGTCACTCCATAGGGCACAGTGAAGGCTGTCTGCTCGTGAGGAGGTTTGCAGCCTTGAGCAAATCCACAGGGCAGTTCTGCTCTGCAGTGAAGCCTTA